TTTTGTGGAGCAGACTGCCTAATTTGATGTCATGAAATTACACACAAAATTAGAGCTCAGGTTGCACTAGCAAGCACCATTTTCAGCATGCTGTTCTTGTTTTTGGCTAACGACAGAGGGGACACCTCCCTCTCCTTCTCTCTTCCCCGTTGTGCTCGGTCGCGGGAAAATGCTCCGCAGTTTCCAGACAAAGTTTACTAATACTTTTTTTTCTTGATTAGTAAATTTACTATTACCTAGCAAATTCCAGAGAGAGCCCAGATTTACTATGGTGACTTTTTGTGCAGTTGGACTCCGGTGTGTGTAGATGTGTTAAATCTTGATAACTGCTGGATGGAGTGGAATAAAACTTGCTGCATATACTTTGTGATAAATTCCAGAACTAATTAAGTTTTAGAACAAATCTCTGCATATTAATTAGCTTATTTGCATATTATTTTCAACATTTTTTTCTTTTTGTGTCCTAGCAACAGTTTTTGTGTAAATGTATATTAAGTAATAAAATTTTAACCTTTGATAGTAATGACTGGGATATTTATTGAGTAACAAGATTTAATGATGTCACAGAAATGTCCAAAATATCATGTATATTTAGGGTCAGTGTCGTCACGCTGCGCCCTGTATGATATGGGATTCGTAGTGACATGCATGTGTAAAATATATTACATGTGCAATGATCACCACCCTTTAAAAAGCAGGAGTATAACTATTTAAAAAATGCATTGTTGCCAGACATATAGTTTTACGTATGGCTGTCAGTGTGAAGGTGTTAATGTTAACACGTGTGTAGGATAAGCTGCTATGTCAAAGAGATAAAAAGCAAAGTACTTGGTAATCTCCGACACAGATTATAGATAGATCAGATCAGATTGAATCTGGATTAGAAGAATTCTCGAAACCCACATGGTATTTGTCTGAGTGTTTGATGGGCCAGTTTGATATCAAGACCTCACTGTTTTGATATCAAGACCTCACTGTTTTGTTGTTTGCCTATTGCATTTATAAGTGCACAGTGTATGTTTCTGAATCATTGTGTTACTGTATATACTTGTACCTTTATGAGGAAGTACAAGACACTTCAGTTTAATATATAAATTATGTATTCCAACTTCTCAAAATGCAATTGTTAAAACTTCATCAATTTGCTTTATTTCCTGAGGTTATTTTTATCAATAATGATTACTTGACAAGTTTGATGAGAATGGGATTTAATTTCCATAAGGTTAAGTGATTACAAAGCCTCATTAAGTGAGATAGCCGCAACTCATTATTGGAAAGATGCAGTTAGGTTGTTATTCACTTTGAGTGGTTTGTGTAGAGATGCATTTTGTTTTTCAGTATGAAAATCAAGTCAGAACAGGTTAGCATAGATTTGATTTGTATAGAAATTTTGATGAGTAACAAAAGGCAAAAGACATTTTGATTTAGACCTTTTAGACTTTTAGCACAGATAAGAGTGAATGTCAGTTATTGCGTATGTTTAGAATTGTGAGGACACTCATTTTCTTATCAAAACATTTTGATATGAATGGTCTCATTGAAACCATGTTTAAACTATGTACTAAACATTTAAAGACACTGAAGCAGTCATAAAGGCAATTGCCTTTATAACTTCCATGAATTCTAAGTCTTGATTCAATAAACTTGAGTTCTCTAAGGTAAGCAGATGTATAAACGGATCAAATTTCACACTCATTTGACATTTTGTGGTATTTTGTTAAGCATGTGAAACACACTAAATTAAATCAAATTTTTTGAACATTACTAACAATATTGGAATTAATATCAATTATGATCTATGACTTTTTCAGCCCATTTCACCAAACAAAATTCTGAAATATGACAAAAATACTTTTACCAATAAATCCAATGCAAAAACAAAAATGAAAGAGTTGCTTCTCGACAAGTTGTCCAATGACCACAATTCTTCTGTACCTTAACTCATAATAACTAATGAAAGGTTTAAAGAAACGTATATAATCTTCATTTCACTCAAAACTTAAAAAATTATCAACCTATGAAAACAATCACACTTCTCCCTAAGTACAAATGTTTCTCGGAAACTGATCAAAATGGTTGTGTGATGTGTATTGTTTAATTTTTTTGACTACAGATATAAGTATCCATATAACATACATTTCACATACACAAGTTAAGTTGAAATTATCTTTGAGTAATAATAACATGACTTTTTTGTTGTAAAATTAATTATTATGAATTCTGCTTGTCGATCAGTCAAATGTCAATCATCCCACTTCTCCATTACTGCTAGATGCTAATTATGCTATTTGTCATTCTTTTAATTGCTGTTCAATTTTTAGTAATTACAAGGTTTTAGATGAGATCTTATTTATGAGTCTCGATGGGAGAGATGTATTGCCCTGTTTGTGGCATTTTTTCAGCTCTCTAAAAACGCTTGTTCGTCATAGTTGCCATGGGGATGTTGCTATAGAGCATCCACCACAATGCTTCAAGACAGGAAAGCGGAGCACTGTCCCTCGCATATCTGTTGTAATCAGCATTCATAAAAAGATGTCCCAATATCAACTTAATTTATAGCTGTTTGTAGGGGTTGTGGTCTTTGACCTTTACAGTAGATAATGGTCTGTTAGTCTCGCTTTTATTAAGAACTCATATTTTCATTTTTTTATTTTTATTTCAATGAGGGCATCTTGTTTTCCATTCTTATTTTGACTTCTATAAACTGGCTCAGTCTAGTTATAACCTGTATCAGAGTAAGAGTCATACAAGTATAAAGTAGTTTTTAATTCATTGAACACCCAGTTCTCAACTATTGTCTACTTTCACAAAGTACCAGTAAACGCATATATTCTTTTGAATTTAAAAAAAAAAAAAATTATCTAATCCTGCAGGAAAAGGAAAACTATCTCCATTTGGTTCATAATAAATTAATAAAATTACATGACACTGTGTGGGAAAT